GGGGGGGCACGGTTCCTGTCAAAGAATACCATGCGGGCCACTCGCGCGCGTCGGCCGCGCGCGCGTGTTTCTTCTCTACGAACAAAAGCTGTCATCGCCGACGCGATGCTATCATCGTCATCGGCGTGATCAGTATCGGTGCCGTCCTCGCCGTTGCCGTCGTCGTCATCCTAATTGTCACCATCATTGCTAGTACCACCATTGCGTTTACCGTTGGCGGCGTCGCCATGATATCGCGCCCACCCAAGTCACCGATTCGCGCTGCAGCGTGACGCGCTGGGAAGGGCCCAGCGGACAACGCCACCGCGGTCGCGTCAAATTCGCTGGCCGCTGTGCGCGCGAACGTGCTCGAGCTAGCGCGGCCGCAGAGATGCACCAGTCAGCTCCGAGCAGTCATCGCCAACGCCGCCGCATTTTGCAAACCAAATTGCGAGTGGGTGGGGGAGATGATTGCGCGAGCATCGAAGGTGACAGTTCCAGTTCTTATTTTACATAATATTTGCGCCGCGTAGGTTGCGCCACAGACTGCATTCCATAAACTGCGCACCGTTGTATTGCACAGCGTCGACCTTGTTCTTTTTTTTTTCTGTTTGTGTTTATTGCTGGTGAGCCCACATCGCGTTCACACCGTTCGTTCGCCCGAAACATGAACCCGCGCCGTCCCAGCCCAGACGGCGTCGCCCGCCCCGCCCCCCGCATCATCTGGGCAAAACAAAGTCAATGCGCGCACATTCGTTTATCAGAAATCATACGTTTCCAATAATCCGTTGCAGCACGCGGGGCGAAAAGGCGCACGCGCGCGTCGTCGCGCGCGCACATGCCGTAATCATTCAAAAACCTCGCTGAGGTTTGGTGAGGATTTCGAAGTCGAGTGCCCCTGAAACGTATGCATGGCTTGGCGAAGGACCCAGGCATATGCAGTCGTGAGTGCCGCAGTTTTGAGTATCGTCTTCAGTGGAGCGTGCTAAGGGGCCGCAAAACGAGTGGGGCGTGCCGAGGTGGGTGGCGCGGACGCATGCGAATCCTGCCGCTGGGACCTTCGGTCGAGCTCGGCATTGCGACGCGAAGCGTGTGAGGGGTGCTCCGAAATGGGTCGCGCGGGCGCGGGCGAACCCTGCCGTCGGGGCATTCGGTGGAACCCCCCATGTGGCGACGAAGCGTGTGACCTCCTCCTCCTCCTCCCCTCCTCCTTGTCCTCCTCCTCCTCCTCTTCCTCCTCCTCCTCCTCCTCCTCCTCCTCCTCCTCCTTGTATATGTATACATAGATACATACACATATACACATATATTTGTATTTGTATGTATGTATATATATATACACAAAAATTCACACATACATAAATCAGACATGACGCGACCGCACCTAGGTTGTCCTCTGTGCCCTTCTGCCCTTCCCTTCGCGCTTTCCTCCTCCCACCTCGGCCTCCCGCCCTCTGCCGTTGCCGACTGCCCCTGCCCCGCCCCTTAGGAGTGCCTCGCTCCCACGGCCGCGCCTCGCGGGGAGCCCCCCCCCGCACTCCAGAGGGTTGCCCGTGTCCCCGCCGCGGCCACGCCTCTCTCGTTAGCAGGGCCTCCACCCCGAAAGCCCCCCGCCCTTCCGCTCCGGAGTCAACCTCGGCGGTCGGGCCCCATCATCGCCACCCGTGCAGGCACCCCTGCCTGCTCGGCCTCATCGCTTGGTCCGCACTCGTTGCGGTCGCTGCACCCCTGTCGTCTGGGGGCCTTTCATCCTCGCTCCTGTTCTCGACCCTGCCTCTGTCCCGCCCACCTTCCGAGGCATGCTCACTTCCCGAGGGATGGGTCGAGTAGGATCGGCGGATGTGCCTCGTGGGTCTCCCCGACGTCCGTGGTGAACTTCATGCAGAAGCACGGAGTGGAATGCCCCGCCGGGGGCAGCTCGGTCATGATCTCCGAGGACCCGGGGTGTGGTTCGCAACGCATGCACGGGGCTTCCCCCTCCTCTGGTCGGGGATCTACTGACCTGGGTCAACTCAGACCCAGGTCAGTCAGGCTCTGCAGGATCCTGCAAGATTCTGTAGGGCCCTGCAGGATCCTGCACCCACATCCGGGTCAGTGCGCCTCTGGCCCTGCAGGATCCTGCAAGATCCGGCGCTCTGACTGACACCCGTGCGCTCTGACCCCCGCCCCTTGAGCCTCGGCGTGGGCCTCTGGCGACCTCGCCCGCCCGACCCGTGGGGGCCTCTCGATCGAGGCCCGCTCTGGGCCCACGGGGCCACCGAGAGACCGCCCGCGAGGAAGCTGTTGGCTCACGGGGCCCGTGCCCGTGGAAAGTCGCGGCATCCGAGGCCCGGGTGTCTGCCCAGCCCGTTCGCCCCGGCCTCTCTGGAGCCCATCTCGATCCGATGGATGTCGATTCCGGCCAGCTCGATGTGATCCAATTCTTAGATGCTCGTTTTGGGTACCTTCCTGGGGTCCGCCTACTTGATATGTTCGACTCAGTTCGATACAGGTTCGACTCAGGTTTGACTCAAGGTCGACTTACATGGACGGACGTTCGACGCAGCCTCGACGTACGAGTGGAGCAAGTGGCTCCAGTAAGGTCTCTAGAATGAGCATCCAACATCTCGATCTGATGGATGTCGATTCTGGCCGGCTCGACCCGGTCCAACTCCCATCTTTCGGTGGGGGTTCGTACAGGGAGGGTCAGCCACGCGCAGAGGGGGGTGGGGGGAGGGGGATGGGCTTCTTAGAAGCGCCCCTGCTTCTTAGAAGGCGCGGGCCTTCTCTATAGATGTGAGGCCGGCGCCTTCCTTCCCTCCTTCTGAGAAGCCCTTCCCACTCCCTCCGCGTCGTTTTATGTGCCCCCCCCGAGGCTCCGGCGATGCGATGCGGCCCGATGCCTCCGCGGCGCCTTTGTGCACCCCGGTGCAGCCGGGGCGCTCCGCTCTGGGCTCCGTGCCGAGGCGGCCCGACCCGACGCGCGTGCCGACCGGTTCTGGACTGCCAATGCGATGCGGCTCGATCCTAGGAGGAGGAGGCGGAGGAGGAGGAGGAGGCGGAGGCGGAGGCGGAGGCGGAGGAGGAGGAGGAGGAGGAGGAGGAGGAGGAGGAGGAGGAGGAGGAGGAGGAGGAAGGAGGGAGGAGAGGGAGGAGGAGGCGGAGGAGGAGGGCGGAGGAGGAGGAGGAGGAGGAGGAGGAGGAGGAGGAGGTGTGGGAGGAGGAGGAGGAGGAGGAGGTGTGGAAGGAGGAGGAGGAGGAGGCGGAGGGGGAGGAGGAGGCGAAGGAGGCGGAGGAGGAGTTGGAGGAGGACTCCTACCCTTCGTTCCGCCCAGTCGAGCGGCGCCGACGCGCACGTCCGATCCCCGCGCTCGGGGGGAGAGCCGCGCGGTGGCGCTGCAGCGCGGCGCACGGCCGCGCGGCGCGGAGCAGTGGCCGCGGCTGCCCCTGCAGGGCGCTTCTGGGCAGCTGCTTCTGCTCGTGGCTCCTGGTCGGAAGGAAATTCACAGGCACAACTGAGCGTCGATTCCGAGGAAAAGATGGGAAACTATGGGAAATGGGGGGAAGATCGGAGGTTGGGGGGGGGAGATCGAAGTGGAACGGAGACCCCCAACCAGGAAATCGTTTCGTTTCGTTCGTGTCGTGCGTGCGGGCGAGGCGAAGCTGCATGGGCGCGCGAGCGGAATGAACTCGCCGTTGCTAGGGCGAAGTCAAGACAAATGATTCTCCCCCGCCCGCCTGCCCGTCCGTCCGTCCGGCGGTGGCCGGTGGTGTCCCGCGGTGTCCCGTGTTGTCCCGTGGTGTCCCGTGGAGTCCGCCGTTGCTAGGGCGATGTCAAGACAAATGATTCTCCCCAGTCCGTCCGTCCGGCGGTGGCCGGCGGTGTCCCCCGGGTCCCGTGGTGTCTTGTGGTGTCCCGTGGTGTCCGCCGTTGCTTGGGCGAAGTCATGACAAATGATTCTCCCCCGTCTGAACGTCCGTCCAGCGGTGTCCCCCGGTGTCCCGTGGTATGCTGTGGTGTCTCGCGGTGTCCCGTGGTGTCCGCCGTTGCTATGGCGAAGTCAAGACAAATGATTCTCCCCCGTCCGCCCGTCCGTCCGTCCGTCCGGCGGTGGCTCGCGGTGTCCCGTCGTGTCCGCGGGGTCCCGTGGTGTCCCGTGGTGTCCCGTGGTGTCCTGTTGAGTGAGATCGATAATGAGGTCGATAGTGAGATCGATAGTGAGATCGATAGTGAGATCGATAGTGATATCGATACTGAGATCGATGTGGTGTCCCGTGGTGTCCCGTGGTGTCCCGTTGAGTGAGATGGATAGTGAGATCGACAGGTGTCCCATGGTGTCCCGTGGTGTCCCGTTGAGTGAGATCGATACGGATGTTGGTTCCCCCCCCTCTCCCCCCCCCCATCCTCCTTATCACCCGAAGGGTGGTCGTATAAGTAAACGTACAGAACATATGGGAAATAATGGGGAATCCTGGGACTTTTTGTATTTATCGGCGGCGAGCGAGGTGGTGAAATGAGAAGGAGAAGGCCTTCTCAGAAGGCGGCGGGACTTTTCAGAAGCCCTCGCGCTTTCTGAGACGTTTTCTGTGTCTTCGGGGAAGGCTTAGAAAATTTCTCAGAGGTTCCTTGGACTTCCGCATCTTCTGAGAAGGCCCGCCTCTTCTCACTTCCCCCCCTGGCTCGCCGCCTGATTTATTCGTGTGTCCCCGGGCCCCTTCAAGTGGAGGGGGGCGAAATGGGCCCCTGTGGCCCAGAGGGGGCATGAAGGGTGCACGTTTCTTCCCCCCCCCAGGGCTGGACTCCACAGCGGCTGGACCTAAACGATGTTTTTGGCGATTTCGTGGGCCTTTTATCGTTTCGACTTCGTTTTGCGATAAGGGCGGATTCGAGACAAAAGCGAGGGAAGACGAAAACAAAACGAACACGAAAAACACCGTTGAGGTTCAGCCCTGCCCCCTCATTTATATCGCGCCCCCATCAAGCAACGCCTGGCCTCGTGGCCAGTCTCGGGGCCTCCTTGGGCCGCCATGAGAGAAGGAGGTCCTGAGGTCAGCGGGCCATGGAGTTTGCTCCCCGCTTCAAGTCTCCCGGGGCCCCCGACGGGCCCAACGACAGCCAGAAACGACCCGGGGTGAAGAGCTGATCCTGTGGCCTTGACATCGCTCGGACGTGTGCATCCTTCCTCGGCGAGGCCCACCGAAGAGCACCCTGGATCGCCGAGCAAAGAAATCACGCGCGACACCGAAACAGGGCACGGGGAATGGACGCCCGAGCGATGGCGAGTGGAAGGGCCCTGGGGGCCCAGGAGCCCTCTCCCTCCGTGGGCGGGCCCTGCGCCAGGGGAGAGGCGAGTCTGGGCGGCTTCAAGGAGCGCGGGGCAGCTCCTTAGACGCCAGAGGCCTCCCGAGAAGGCCCCCCCTCTCGCGCCGCCTCCCCCCGTGTGCGCCGCCAGCTTCTCGGATGCAGCTCCTGGGAGGTCAACTTCTGACTTTGCCCTGCTTCGATTCTCAGAAGGCTTCGCGCCTTCTGAGAAGTTTTCTTTCTCTTCGGGTGAGGGTCAGAAAACTTCTCAGAATGCCGGGGGACTTCCAAGCTTTTTGAGACGGCCTTCTCCTCACTTCCCCCCCGGGCTCGCCGCCGACATACAGTTCGCGAACAACGAGCAGGTCGACCTTGCAACATCAGGGGTGCCTTGATGTCCTCTCAACCCCTGGCTGGTCCTGGTGCCCCGGTGCTGGCTGTCCTGGTGCCCTGGTGCCAGGTCCTTGATGTCCTCTCAACCCCTGGCTGGCGCCCCTATCAATGCTTGCGTGATGGCCTGGTGCCTGGATGTCCTCTTGCACCACGTGCCCTCTGGTCTGCTCGTGTCGCGCGCTGCCCTCGGAAGAGCCTCGTGCGTTCTCTCGGCTGTCCTCTGCCATCGGTCTCCGCTGCAACTCTCCGCTGCAACTCGTGGTCTGTTCCGAGACCCCGCCGCCATGCTTTTTCCGCGTTATGAACCCCCGGAGGTTTGGAACCCTTCTTGGGGGACCGGCTTTCCATCCCGAGCTGTTCTTTGACGGTCCCAAAGCCTTGTGAGGGCCACCAGAGGCAGAGCGTTAAAATTCTAGACGCTTCGCGTGACCCCACCAGCCCATCCAGAGACGATGCCCAGAGGAGTTGCCTCGATCAGGGAAGTGGACAGCACGCAGAGGAAGGGTCCCTCTTGGAGCGCTCTTGGGACACTCTTGGGCGCTCTTGGGGCCGTATTGGGGCTTTCTTGGGCCTCTCTTGCGTTTTGGGAGCTTTTTGGTGGTCCCGGGGGCCTCTTGTAGCGTCTCCGGTGCCTCGGGGAGCCTCTTGGGGGCGCTTGGGGGTCTCTTGGTTGGAGCCTCTTGGAGGCCTCTTGGGCGCCTCTTGGGGCCTCCTGGGCGCCTCTTGGGGCCCTCTTAGGCGCTCTTGGGGAACTTGGGAGCGCTCTTGGGGCCATCTTGGAGGATATCGATCAAGAACGAGGGGAGCTGTTTTTTAGCGCTTCCCCTTGGGAGCCCCCATAGTCGCCTCTTGGGGCGCTCTTGGGGCGCTCTTGGAGCGCTCTTGGGCGCTCTTGGTGCCGTCTTGGAGCTCTCTCGAGCCTCACTTGGGGCCCTCTTGGGCCATTTTGGAGCCATCTTGAGGCCTCGGATGGCCATGGGAAGCGAAAAGGCTAGAAAGCAACAAACCCTGATTTTCCTTAGGATCTTGGGGAGCTCTTTGGCCATTTGGAGCCGTCTTGGGACGGTCTTGGGGTCTCTTGGAGCATCTTGGGTGCCATCTTGAGGGATCTTGCGCTATCCTGAGCCATCTTGGAGGTCGTCTTGGGCTCTCCGAGGCGCTCTTGGAGCCATCTTGGGCCATCTTGGACGCTCCAACGCGTCGCGGCCCCCCCCCGTCCAGGTCCAGGGGAGGGGGTAGGGGGAGGGGTCAAGAGTCTCCCTCCCCGCCCGCAAGCCGTCTCGCTCACTCCCACCCGCCCTCCCAACACATACGTAGCACCCGAGTCTAGCCCGAGCCGCAGCATATGCAGCAGTCGTCTTTGCATGGGCAGCTACTGGGGACGCATCCGCCTCCGCCGCCGCCGCAAAGCCGCCCGCCGCCGCCGCTGCCGCGCCGCCGCCGCCGCCGCCGCCGCCGCTGTCCGCCGCCGCCGCCGCCACCGCGCCGCGCCGCCGCCGCCGCCGCCGCCCCGCTGCCTGCCAAATCGCCGCCGCCGCAGCCGCTGCCGCCGCAGTCGCTGCCGCCACCGCTACCGCCCCGACCGCCGCCGCCGCACGCCCCCGCCGCCCCCGCCGCCACCGCCGCCCCCGCTGCCGCCACCGCCGCAGCCGCCGCAGCCGCTGCCCCCGCCGCAGCCGCCGCAGCCGCCGCCGCCGCCAAGTGTACTCTGTATTGTTTTTTGACAGGGATGGTGGGGGGAGGCCGCATCGGGTTCGCTGCGCTTGTTCCGAATTTGGAGGCAGAGTGTGTTTCGTATTGTTTTTTGCAATGGATGGGGGGGGACAGAGTTTTTTTGGGGGGTTTTACAAGGGGAGGTGGTGGGGGGCCCGCATGGACCTGGGTTGGCTCCCAGTCGCCTGGAGGAGGGGTGTATATTACTAGGGGACGGTGATAAACCCCTCCCCGAAGGGGAAGAAGGGCTTAAGAAGCGGGTTGGAAGATGAAGCGCCCCAGACCACCTACGTCCAGAGGGCTGGTGGGATTGGCACCAACCTGCGGTCTTGTTTTTTTTCACGACGCCGGGGGTCTGGGTTTGCAGTGCGAAAGGCAGCACCCCCGCGTTGCGGATTCCCCCGGCGCGAGGACGCGGAGGATTGCCGGCTGGCGGCGCCATTCGCGGTCAGCTCCGCGTCGAAGGGGCAGTCCTGCATCACCCGCGACGCGGCCGAGGCGGCGTGCGAGGACGTGCTCGGCAGGTGTCTCGGGGCAGCCACCACGACCGTCGCTGGGATAATCAATGAGATTCGCTCTCGCCCTGGGGGGCGTTAAGAGGAGAAACGTGTGCTGACGTTGTAAGCTTCCGTCCCGGATCCCCGTCGCGCTGCGAGCCGATCACGGCGGAAACGTTGTTTTGTTGGTCCCTGGCGGGGGACCCCGAGGCCGTTCACAAGCTTCACATAATGATAAAGGGTCTGGGGAAGGCGTCCAGGATTCTCCGGGGTCCTTATTTTTCGGTAGCACATCATGGGAGCCTGGTATACCCTTTTTATTCCGTCTGTAGCGTCGATTAGCGTTTGGGTGTCGATGAGGTAGCGCCGATTTAGCGTCGATTAGCGCCGATGCGCAAGAGCCGGCAAGATGGTATGGGAGGCTCCCCTGAGTTGCCACCGAACACGTTGGTCGGGGACCCACGCCGTGCGGTGAGTCGAGCGAAGGCTCGAGATGACCGCACGGTGTTGGGATCTGGTCCGTCCTCCGAGGGTGCCTCGGGCGACCGAGGCCTCCGAGGTCCCCAAAAACCGTGCGGACACGGGCGGGGCGGCGAGGCCTCTTGGGCTTTCGAGGCCACCCCACGGTCCGTCACCGCACCGCTTTGGGGACCCCCCGGTCGGGGACCTATCACGACCTCGGGAGTCGGACGTCGCACGTCGTCCGAGACCGAGCCGGGCCCTTGACACCTCCCGCAGGACGGGTCCCGTGCGGCGGGCTCGCCGCCGCGCCCGCTCGAGGTTGCGACGCCGCCGGCGGTCCAGCAGCGGCCACTGCGGGAGGATCCGGCGATCGAGGAGCCGCCGATCCTTCCAGGCCGAACGCTCCGCGCGAGGTCAGAAGCCACCGCCGGGGTCGTCGCGGCAGGGGCCCGAGGCAGCCGCCGCGGCGGGCCCCCGTCGGGCGCAGCGCAGGCCTCCGCCGGCACCGAGCCCAGCGCCGCGGCGCGCGGGCGGGGCGGGCGAAGCGGCCGCCGGCGTGCCGTGCCCTCCGATGGCCGCCTCCGCCGCTGTCCCACGGCGGCCCTCGGCGCTCCCCGCCGCTGCGCGGCGCCCGCCTGCTCTGCCCTCGCTCCGCGGAGTGCCGGCGCCCGCCTGCTCTGCCCTCGCGCCGCCGAGTGCCGCCCACGCCACCGCCGAGCCGCGGCCGTGCCCACGGCCCGGGAGCCGTGCCCTGGGGCCTCACTGGAGCGGCGGCAGGACGGAGGTCTGCCCGCCCGCCCTGGCGGGCGGAGGTCTCCAAGGCCGCCGCCCTCCGAGTCCCTGGGGCAGGGCCCCGCGGCAGGGGGAACGATGCGTATTCTGGCGGCGCACCCGCGAGTTCCAGAGGAGGAGACGTTACCGATACCGCTACCCTTCGCCCGCTTTCCCCTCGGGGGCCTCCTGGGAGGCTATCGTCGCCACGGCTGGATTCGCCTCGAAGTGCTGGTCAGAACGCACCCCGGGAGAGGGCCAGGGAGTAGCGGTATCGGTACCTGTTGGTATCCCCAATTCTGGCGGCGCGCTTAGTAGCTGGCGTGCTGGGAGAGGGAGCCCCTGCAGCATGGCCGATTCGACAAGGGCACGCCTAGTCACTCGTGTCTTGAGGCCACGGGCGCGCTGCACGGGGGGAGCGGAGCCCCTGGCCGAACCGAGAAAGGTTGCGTGCGTCTACTCGCGTCTTGATGGCCAGAGATTTGCTTTCGAAGAGAGCATGGAGGGGGAGCCATGGAGCAAGCACAGGGCAGTGGAGTTTGTCCGCCCGCCGACGTCCGTGCCCCTCCGTGGTAGCCATGCCCAGTTCCCTTCCTCTGGGGTCGGCAGGGCCCCGCCTCGAGGTGGTGGAGCCTCAAGTTCGGCGCGGACCAGGTGCTCACGAGCTTCTTGCAGGAGAAGCTTGCGCGGGACCTGCGGGACAAGGCCTTGCTGGAGTGGGCGCTGCAGAACCGGGGGCACGCGGAAACGACGGCCAAGGAGGACGTCCTTGCCTGGGTCGTGCCCAAGTGCATCGAGATTTCCCTCCGCAAGTTCGCGGGAGGCCAGATCACCGCCGAGGGCGGGGCTGGGCTGCTGACCGACCTCTTCGGGAAGAACGAGCTCCAGCAGCCGCCCTTCAGCCTGCCGGCCGTGACGTATGGGCATCTCCGCCACGACGTTGCAGCCGAGATGAAGCTGGCCATGCACGTGCCTGTGTCCGTGGGCGGCACCAAGCGGCTCGAGCACCCTGGCTTCAGTAGCTACCGGCGCCAGCTCGGCGTCCCAGACGACTTTCTAGAGGCCTTTCACTGGCAGCCAGATGCGGGTATCGACGCAGGTTCGGGCTCTCTCTTCGCGTCCTACTTGGCCTTCATGATCAAGTGCGAGGACTCGCGCGACTGGCACTCGACAGTCGACTGGCGGACCTTCCACGTCATAGCGGACGAGTATTTCAAGTTCATGCAGGAAAACCCCGATAGTCTTTTGCCGCGCTTCCTCACGGCGTGGTCGATGGATGCCGGAAGCGATGGCAGGATGATGTTTTGCTGGGCCATGCAGGATTGGACCCCTTCCAGCTGGAAGGAGAACCCAGACTGGCAGGCATCGCGCGAGGCCGCGTCTCTTTCGTGGGACTTGAAGGGTTCAATCATTTACTGGAAGAAAGGTGACACCAACAATCGCCTGGTCACGCGGGGGACGAAAGTGTTCCATCCAGATGACAGGCTGATGTTGAAGGACCAGAACTTTGTCACCGACCATCTGAGAGCCAGTTGTGTAAGGAGATTGTGATTTCCCAGGAGGTGTTCGCAAAACAAAAGGTTCACAAACAATTCGGGTTACGCAGTGTTCCACGCGCACAGGAATCTACACAGCGGGGTCTGCAGACTGAATTCCATACACGAGGCTTCACACATAGCGTTACACAATAGAGTTCAGCATACACGAGTTCCACACACAGGGTTCCGCACACAGGGAACGCACACATGGGCTTCTACCCATCGGATTTTTCACACATCGGATCTCATACGTTGGGCTCCTCACAAAGTGATATTCCATCATGTTGGGTTCCACAGGGTTCCACGCGCAGGGTTCGACACATACGAAGGGTTCCTGGCACATGGGGTTTCACACATTCGGCTCCACACATCTGATTCCACACGCAGGGATCCGCACCTCAGATTTTTCTCGTCGGGTTCCACACATCGTGTTCCACACGCACAGGCTTGACTCCTGTCAGACTCTTCGGGATCATTGTATGTTGTTTTTGGTCCGACGTAATCAGTCTTGTGTTCAGCCACCATCGAATTCCTGGAGACCAGTTCCCTGGCAACCTTGGCTCTCAGACGATAGCTTGGTCTTGCCTCGCGACACGGCTGAGATGCTGCATGAACAGGTGGACAAGGATGTGGCTTGGCTGCAGTCGAACATGTTAATGGACTATTCGTTTTTCTTGTTCCTTGTCGACGTGGATGCCGAGGACGCTGTTAGCTTGTCCCATGTCTGCCCGGCCGAAGGCCACTTCGAGCCCAAGTTCCTCACCGCGGCGTTTTTCCAGCGGGACGCGGGCTTCACTGCGACGGTGCCGTCTTGGGATGGTAACCTTTACCTCTGGTCGATGGGCCTGATCGACATCTTGCAGCCCTGGTCCCTCTTCAAGGCCATCGGCACCGCCGTCGACGAGCTCTTATTCCCTGATTCCGTCGGTACATTTGCGATGAACAACATCGCTCCCAGCCAGTACGGGCCCCGCTTCAGCCAGTTCTTGAAGAACATCACCTACTCTTCGCACACGGTGACGTACCCGAACGGGACGACGGAGGCATTCGAGGCAGAGCACGTCTACAAGAAGTGCGCCGACTTCCGAGCCAGGGAGGCGGATCACGAGTGACGAACTCAAACATCCATGTCCCTGCCCTCGAGTCTTGGCGATGAGTTTTGCCGATCGTCGAGGGCCCTCGACAATTACACAATATGAAAATACTCTCCCCCTTCCCCTGATGGCGTCCCGAATATATCCGACACCCCCCCGCGTATGTTTTTTTTACACACAGGATTCCTGGGATACGGGTTTTCGCTTGTGTTTTTTTCAAAATGCGCCGGCCTCATTTCTGCTCCCGAATCGTTCCGAATCGTGCTCCCGCTGCAGCGTGGGCCTCATTTTCGGATCGGTGTTTGGCCTCCGTCGTTCAGGATGGCGTTCTCGCCCCAGCGCGGGCCTCTTTCTCGCGCGACCATCCGCCCGCCACCACCGCGCCGCACCACCACCACCACCACCACCACCACCACCACCACCACCACCACCACCACCACCACCACCACCACCATCACAACCACCACCAGCACCAGCACCACCACCACCACACCCACAACCACCACCACCACCACCACCACATACCACCACCACCACCACCACCACCACCACCACCACCACCACCACCACCACCACCACCACCACCACCACCACCAACCACCACCACCACCAGCACCACCACCACCAGCACCACCACCACCACCACCACCACCACCACCACCACCACCACCACCACCACCACAACCACCACAACCACGCACACACGCACGCACGCACGCACGCACGTGCACCACCACCCACTACGCACGCGCGCTCGGAGCCACAGGTCCGCTACGACACGCGTCCGCGTGATAGAGAAAATCAGCGCCATGGTAAGGAGGGAGGGAGGGGTAGGACGTCAGATATGACGCGAGCGCACCTAGCTTTTACCCCACCCCTTTTCTGACCCCCCCCAGGGAGTAGATCTTGGCTGTTTTGGCGCCTGTTTCAGGTGGGGGTCCGGAGCCAGAACCCCCCTCTTTCTTTCTGTTACCCCTTTTTTTTTTTTTTTTTTTTTTTTTTTTTTTTTTTTTTTTTTTTTTTTTTTTTTTTTTTTTTTTTTTTCTTTTTTGTTTTTTTTTCTTTTTTTTTTATTTTTTTTTTTTTTTTTTTTTTTTTTTTTTTTTTTTTTTGTTTTTTTTTTTTTTTTTTTTTCTTTTTTTTTTTCTTTTTTTTTTTTTTTTTTCCTTTTTTTTTTTTTTTGTGGTTTTTTTTCTGTTACCCCTTTTTGTTTACTCGCGGGTGGACAGAACCCCCAACAGTGACACGTCGATCAGTGAATTGTCCGTTTTCGGATCTCGAGAGGGCGCCGTGGCCGTTATTTTCCAGGCTTGCGCCCGCCAGGTTTGGGCCTCAGGTCGTTTTCACTAAACCCCGTTTTACTAAAGGGGGGTCTGTCCATCCCCGATTATCCCTTTTTGTTTGCTGTCGAAGCGCCGAATAAAAGAAAGCGCTCACCATCCACGTGCCTGCCCTCGCGGCCTGGATCCCGAGGAGCAACCCCGCGGATGCTCGATCCCGTTGTTATATACACCCCAGGCGATGCTTAAGAAAACTTTAGTTTTCGGCCAGAGTCTCGATTATTCTTAATGTTTCGATGTGAATCCTAAGATTTCGATCGAAATTCTGGGTTTTTTAATTCAAGTTCTGAGACTATGAATTTCTGAACCCATGATTTCTTAAGCATTTCGCAAGGTGTACGCTCTGCGCAGGGCGCTCGCGCGCGTGCGGGCGCGTGCGGGCGCGGCCGGGGAGTCTGGACCGCGAGGCCGTGAACACCTACGCAGAGATCCGATGTAGTGTTAAGTCGGGCCTGTCCCTCTGCAGGAGGAGTAGTCAAGAGTAGCAAAAAGATAGTCCGGGGGCGATTTCTGTTGTGAGTATTTGTGAGCATTTTCGGGGCACTGTTTGACTATTTTAAGCTTTTCGTCCAAAAATCCGCCTGTAGGGGGACACGCCCGACCTACATGTAGTGTGGTTTTCAAGCGCTGCGTTGCCGATTTCGTGGGCCCCTGTTCGTTTCGATTCTGTTTTGCAGCAGAGGCGGGTTGAGGGCGAAGCGAGAGGACACGAACAACAACGCGAAGACGACGAATACCGCTTAGGGCGATGCCTGCCCCGGAAGTCCCGGCCCGTTCCTCAGGGCCTGCTCTGAATCTTGAGTATTTGTCCGTACCCTCCCGTACTAGGTTACAGTCGGGGCGCTGAAGAAGGAACCCTTCTCGTCGGCGAGTGGCTCGGTGTTCCTTGACTGTTTTACAGTTTGCGTTGTGTTTTCCATGGGAAATCGGAGTTTCACTTATGGGAAACAGGGGCCTCGTTCCTTATTTAGGGTTCCTTAGGTCAACGCCCCGACTGTATCGTTCTGAGCAGGGCGTTGTGGTCTCCACCTCCTCCTCTCCCGGCTCCTCCTCCTGCCTCCTTCTGCGCTGCTGCCCGGGTGGCTGCGAACTGCGCAGCCGTCGCCACTGTCGCGTGCTCCTGGGAGGGCCAGCGGGGTCGGGGGCCACGCGCACCCAGACGAGACCCCGCTGCTCCCTGGGTGGCTGCGAACTGTGCAGCTGCAGCCCCTTTTGTGGGCTCCTGGGAGGTCCGGCGGAGTCGGGGGCCACACGCAGACCCAGACCCCGGCCTCCGCAACTCTGGCCACGCTCACGGGCCCCTGGGAGGCACGGTGGAGAGGGGGGCAGCGCAGACCATGCACAGCTCTGGCGACTTGTATTCTCATATGGAATTCTATGTGGACAGACCTCCTACCCTTACACGTCTATTGATCAATTGGCCGTTTTCGGTTCGCGAGAGGGCGTTGCGGCCGTCGTTTTTGCGGGTGCAGGCCCGTCGGTTTCCGTCCCTGGCCGATTTCACTCAGGGGAGGTTTACTAAAGGGAGGTTTGTCCACCCCCGATGGAACGTTCATACCCATCGGTCGTTGACAGTAGGTTTTCTTGAATTCCCAGTCTTCTATCCACTTCCAGCGCCTTCCTACTTCAATGATCGAGTGGCTTGACCGTTTCCGTCCTCTTCAGGGGACGCGCGGAAGCCCAATCTACTTTTACCGCCTTCCTTTTTCATGTTCCTACCTACTTGTCATTGCGCCAACATCGCAGAGCGGATTGCGTTCGGAAAACAATGGGATGGGCCCGGAGTGTCCTGCAGAATTTCGGTCTGGATTTCGAGGTGAATTTCGTGCGGATTTTGTTGGCCAGGAGTGAAGACCAAAACAAATCCACGCGAAATTCATTTTGTTTTTCGCTCGCCGTTTCGGGCAAACATCCACGCAGAAATCCACGCAGAACTCCGCTGCAGCACGTCTACAAGGCCGGTGCAATGATACTTCTTCCGACCGATGTGTACATGTATTCGCCTCGCGTGGATAATGGGGTTGGGCACGTCTCGGGTAACTGGTGTTGACGGCCCCGAGGCCTCAGCGAGGGGACCCCCAGAAGCCAAAAAGACGACGAGCCGCCTCCGTACAGTGGGAGCCCATGCCAAGAAGCACTCTGCTTGCCTCCAGGGTGCCCTGGGCTTCTTGGGCTTCCATGGTCTTGCTGTGGAAAGCGCGACGTTCCCACACCAAACATCAGTGGACGTCCTGGGGTCCCAGGGTTGGGCTTCCTGTGGAAGGTTTATCGTTTGGTCGAGCTCCTGCCGTAGTGGACTTTCAATACCATGGAGGTCTGGGAGTGTGAGCATGCTTTCTCTCTCGAGGCGAAGGAGAAGAACCCCCACCTCCCGTTCTGCGAGGACCTGCGCCTCGAGGCCGCCCTGCCAGAGACGACGCGGCTCCTCCGCGCGGCGGCCACTCCGTTCACGGAGGAGGAGGTCAGGGCCGCGCGGAGGGAGGCTCACGCCGACACTGCGCCCTGCCAGGATGTCGGGGGAGGGGAGCCGCTGCCACAGGAAGAACGCTGCCGATGCGGCTACGCTTCCTGAGAAACGTTCAGCCGATCCCCATCCCCACTGGCGTGGCCTGGGCCCCACTGGCCGGTGTTATCCCCCTCGATGGGTATGTAGGCTGCTCTTTTCGGGTTTTGAGGGGCATATCCCCAACTGAGGTGGTGAGACGGTGGGGCTCGAGATGTGGATGGGGATGGGGATAGGGATCGTGTTATGTACCCTCTGGGGCACAACGCGCGTTATGCCCCCTACTCTTCCCTCCCCCCCTAACGCTCCTCCCTCAGTGCCTCCCTGGCACTGCCGCAGTGCGTCCGGCACCACAGTCGGGGGGGCGGGGGGGCGCTGCCTTATGCCCTCCCGTCCCCCATCCCCTCTCGCGATCAGGACTTAGCGGAAAATCTGGCATTCCCCGGGAAAAACGGACATTCTCCGGTAGCACCAGGAAATGTCCGATTTCTGCGGCGCTTCCTTTGCGAATGTTTCGAGCGGGGTCGGGCCGCAAAGTCTTCGAAAGCCAACTGGTTGGCTTACGTCTGACCATTCGGTTTCCGAAAAAACATACCGGGGAATGTCTGATCTCGGTGTGCTTGCGTCAGAAAAGTCTCAGAAGCCTCTCAGAAGCCTCTCAGAAGAGTCTTAGAAGCCTTTCAGAAGCCTCTCAGGAGCCTCTCAGAAGCCTCTCAGAAGCCTCTCAGAAGCTTCCCAGAAGAGTCTCAGAAGCCTCTCAAAAGTCTCTCAGAAGCCTTTCAGAAGCCTCGCAAAAGCCTCTCAGAAGAGTCTCAGAAGCGTCTCAGAAGCCACTCAGAAGAGTCTCAGAACAGTCTCAGAAGCCTCTTCAGAACAGTCTCAGCAGAGTCGCAGAAGCCTCTCAGAAGAGTCTCAGAAGCCTCTCAGAAGCCTCTCAGAAGATCTTCAGAGATAATTAAAGCGAAGCTGCTCAAAGATTTAACCGGGGAATGTCCGGTTTTCCAGGGGTAAGTCCGATTTGACCGAGAAAAGTCATGTTCTCATCCCCCCTCCGAGATCCTGATCAGAACGCACCCCTGGAGAGGTCCAGGAGGCATGTGTATCGGTGCCCTTCTCTCCCCCCCATGCAGGGCACGAACCCATCCATACGGATCTTTCGCGTCCACGCCTCGCGGTGGAGTCACCGAGGTGCGATCCCATGGGCACGCGACCCCGTACGCACGTGCTGCGCGGGGCGTCCGCTCGAGGCCGCATCGTGTCCATGGGCCTGCGGCCGATGAGTCCGGGCCGCGAGGCCGCGGACGTGGACGTGCCCCCTGCAGGCACCACCGCAGGGCTCGTTTCGATTCCTCCGATACGATTCGATTCGACTTCATGGATTCCGATTCCGATTCGATTCGACTTGGGATTCCGATTTGGGCTCCGATTTCTCGATGGACGCACACTCTAGCCTGCCGATTTCCGCCAATTTGACTTTTCCCGACTCGGCTGCCGATTTCCGCCGATCCGATTCGTGCCGACTCCCGATCCGACCTTTCGATTCGATTCTGGGTTCCCTTTGCCACCGCACGTCACCCACGGGGCAGGTTGGGCAAGAAGCTGGTGTGCATGCCTTCCTGGCCCTGGTCATTAGTCGGGCATGTCCCTCGACAGGAAGAGGTAATCAGGAACAGTACCACAACTAGTCTTTGTGCCGATTCTTCGTGCTCTTGTTCAATTTTATCTGATTATTTCTGGACTATCTTTCATTCTTCTTCCAACTTCGCCTGTAGGAGGACATGCCCAACCTATCCCTGGTTGGGAGCCGATCGATGTACACACCACGATGTGGGCCTGTGCAGGCTTGGGGCTTGATTAGGTTGTTCGTGGGGCTATATCAAGCCTTCTTGAGGTCATGCCTAAGATGCCCCATCGGAAGCGAAACGGTGAGACGACAAGACACAGTGATGTTGCATAGGTCAGTTGAAGGAGTTTGGCCCCCTCCCCAGGACCATCCCGTCGCCGTTTACGTCATCGGGCCCTCCTCGGTCGGCAAGTCCACCGCGTCGGAGACCCGTCTCCAGGACATGGGCCTGGACGAGAAGGAGCGGCGGCGAGCCCGGGCCGGGGGGGGAGTGAAAAGGTTGCGGGCCTTCTCCGAAGGCTCGGACGTCCCCCGGCCTTCTCAGAAGTTTTCTCAGCCCTCCCCGAAGACGTCGAAAGTCACTCCCAAGGCCAGAGGGCTTCTGAGGCCCCGCCGCCCTCTGAGGCCTTCTCCCTCTCACTTCCCCTTCGCGCTTGCCGCCGGAGAGGAGGCCGTAGTGGTGGACGGGGACATCTGGAGGAGTCACCACTCGGGATTCAATAAACTGGTGGATTTCGGGAAGAAGTACAACTGTGTCTTCAAGGGTGCGTGGGACGGCGTGATCAAGTATTCCAAGGCGGAGAAGAAGAAGCTCTTCGAGTTTGCTGCTGATCCCGAGTGCCGGCGCA